CCATATAAACCATTAGAGAGAAGGAAATCATGTGATCACTCCTTCATTTGGAAAACTATAACTTCCAATTTCTAGTTTATAAATATTATGTCAAACACATGGATTTGAGAACTCAATAATCACACAAATGCTTTAGGTTTGTACTCTACAACAAAATTTTCAATTGTAACATAATAACCTGTCATTAGGTTGTACCTCTACCGACATGACACTCATCTGTGCACCCGAGACAATACATGTGAATATGAAATATGGAGTGAAGGGTTAGGCATAAAGGACTCTCGCACCACCGATCAAATATGATTCTTAGGTTTTGTAGATTCAAACCGACTACATCACCTATCAAATCTTGCCAAAGTATCAAACAATTGAACATAGATTACTTAAAATAGATTGCACATTGTCTATTTTGATGAACCTAACAAAACCAAAGCTTTTCCCTAAATTGCGACATTCCCATACTTATGACATACATTCCATAGTTCCCGATTGCCCACATTATGAGGAAATTTTGTCACATAAATAGTATGGTACAATTTACTTACTTCCCAAATATCTTTATAACGTGTGTTGGACCTTCAATTATTTCCCACTCTGTCAAAAATGTTATGTGTATTTGAATGATCAATCCAATCAAAAAAGTTCTTGTAAATCTTAATAGTTGTGATCATCCATTGTGATCATCCTTGCTTATAGTCGCTACTAGCCTTGCTCCCCAAGAAAAATGTTGATAGTAGCCTTGCGATCCAAGCAAAACCCATCAATAGGTCGACATTTCTTCCTATTGCCGGCGGTAGGTTGCGCCGGCAATCTTCGCGTTCATCGAATTAAGAATTTCAATTTTGACTTTGAAAGCAATTTAATCGAATTGGTTTGAACGAAACCACAAGTTTACCCTATTCAATTTAATAACTTTGTTTAAATATAATATTCAAGTTGACTTTTATCATTCATCAATATCTTTTTGTGTTAAATATTATGAAGATAGATGGAAGTAAGATGTTATAACAAATATCTAAACCCTTGTTTATCTTTTTTGTGTAGTTTTAAAAAAATTGAAGTGGATTGTTTTGAAAAATACTATTACGAAATTATATGATTTTTTGGACAATATGGAAAATAGAATCTGTACGCAAATTGCAAATTCAGTCAATTAATTATTTTTAAATATTATAATAGATTAATTAATATTTTAGGCGTTTATTTTAATTTTATAATAGAACAGGAAAAACACTTGCAAAAATATATTATTTTTCTTTTTTAAGTAATGAGAATATTTATAAGTATTCGAAAAGGGACTGAAAGTGAAAATCATACCACTCCACATGTTAATGGGTTATGAAGGACCCCAACAATCAACCCACATGGGGAGGGTATATGTCAAATTGTCACTTTTTAATTGGTTTATGTCTTTTCTTGTTCGTATGATATAACATTTCTATATTTATTTCAACCAAGAGGGATTATTTTATTTATAAATAAAATGAAAGGTAAAGTTACAATTATAATTGATAGAAACTTATTAAGATCTTATGCTATTTTTTTATGAAGTAATATAATTATAAAGTTTTAAATGGTCAACCATTTTATTAAGGCCATAGATGTCATATCATATATATCATATTTTTACACTCTCATGTCATTTTTTTTTATAAAACTTGTGGATGTTATAAAACACTTTACTATCATTTTTTTCCTTTTAATTGAATAAAATATAATTTAATAAAAAAAACACTTCATTAATTTAATTAAAACCATTACATTCCTAAAAACGACAAACAAAAAAAACTACTTAAAAACAATAACTTTTATAAATAAAAAACACTAGTTGTAATATTTTTTTTTCATGATGTTCGTTCTAAACCTCAAAAACATATCTAGCTCGTTTCTGATGAAGTGATTAAAAAGATTTGTTAAAATTTCTATATCTCGACTTTTTTGTTTCTCCTCTTAAGCTTGTTACTTCTGCTCTCTTGATTTTTTTTTTCACCTCCAACTTCTCATTTTTCAAAACTCAAACGATTCTGAAAATTGAAACTATAAATTTCCAAATTAGTGACAACTCTATGCACTTCATCCCTTCTTCCCATTCCCGATGTATTCGACAGCGAGCGACTCTTTTTCGTTATATTCCAACCCATCGGTCGAATTACCTCTTCAAGCTCAAGCTCAAGCTCATCCACTCCATTCAAATCAACCTTAAAATGTGCATCCCATGAAGTAGTGTAACTCGTCTCGGAAACTTTGGTTCTTGTCTCACCTCCTTCTTCATTACCATAATCGTTTATCCATTTCAGGGACTTGGATAAAACCTCCAAACATCGACAAACTTGAACAGCTTCTTATTATTGTCAACGAGAAAAAAAAATTAAGCGTCAGCTCTAAAATTTGTTCACCGCATTTCCGTTAAGTTAGCAAATTGTTGTAAATGTCATTAAATTTAGTAAAATATTTGTTCATCTCGTGAAACATGCTAGTATATTGATCTTTAATGTGATGTTCGCCACGATCCATCACCATAAGAAATTGCTCCCGTATGTGTCGCAAAAAATGTTCACCTATTGGTGTGTTACCTTTCTTGGATTCCTCTTAAATATCGACCCTTGATTGCGCTAAAATCAAATCTTTCTCCGGTTACCATTGTTGAGACGTCATCTTCTCTTTTCGAACGGGTGCTTTTCCTTTTTCGGATTTTTTGGGTTGGAAAGTTCGGGTTAGGTTTCCCGAACAATTTTGGGTTCGGGCTCGTCAGCCGGTTTAGGAGCGGGTTGACTTTCCCAGATATATTTGAATTACGGTGACGGAACTTATTCCTCACGCGCGCGCAGGGGGGGGTGTTTTGAAATGTTGTTGCCCTAAGAGGTTGTTTCGTGTCAAATTGTTGTGGTATTTGTTGATATAAAAATGTTGGGCTTGGGCTTGGGCTTGGGCTTGGGGTCGAAACGAAATGAAAGACGAATCCATTTGTGTCGGTAAACTTACGACTCAATTGAACAAACATTTGCACGCAATTTGATATGAGCAGTAAATTGAGGGTTGTTTGGATTAATTTTTGGATTGCAAAGATTTCAAATATTGTATAAAGTGAAAATGTTGTGTAAAAACTATAGAAGAAGATAATGTATTTATAGTTGTTTATAGCACCAAAAATGTTACCGTGTGCCCTTTGTAGCCTTTGGCAATGACTATATATATATATATATATATATATATATATATATATATATATATATATATATATATATATATATATATATATATATATATATATATATATATATATATATATAGTCATTGCCAAAGGCTACAAAGGGCACACGGTAACATTTTTGGTGTGGAGAAAGTATCACACGTGGTAAACATACCACACAATCGAATATAGTGTCGGTAGGGTATGTACCGTATAACGCCCTCTACCATGGTATGTGTGACAACCGTCAATATTAAGTCAACCACAGCCAACAAAGTCAACTCGACTAGTATTAGGGTTGTAGGACAAACGCTATGTTTTCTTAATGTTCCTAATGTATAACTTACAAGGATTAATACAAAGTACCTTTCTTTTATCAAATATAAACTCTAATAAGGGTTAGTAACGTAACAAACTTGATAATTCGGGTATATATTATTTAGGGCTCAATGATATTCGCAACCTAATGTAGTAGGGTTTACAAACCAAACTCTACAAGGCAAAACCCTAGCAAGGGCTACAAACACATGTCGTCGTGTAGGTTCGACGGCTGAGGCCAACCTTAAAAACAACCGCATTCAAAGTGTAATCGAAGTCACTACTCTGAGCCTTGGTGGGTAAGTATCCCGTCTTACCTGATGCATGAAGGCTCTATGAAAACTATTATCTTCAACATGAAATATCAAATCTCAAATCTCTCTCAAATCTCTCCTGGTAACAAGAACCACACTTATAACCTATCCCTTAAACACCCATACCATCCCAACCCTTCAAATTATTGAAAACCACTCGAAAAGTATGATATCCTAAACCTAAAGCTTTAGTACACTAAAAATGAAAATGCTAAGGAAAAAGAGTAAATTGCTTTTTTTTTGTTCTTAAAATAAAGATGTTTTTTGAATTTTGGTCCTAAAAAGTCTTTCTTGCAATTTTGATCATTTCTTATGATATATTGGCCCTAACTCCAAAACAATAGTTTATTTTAGAAAAATAAATTATTGTTTTGATTTGATACCAAAATATTTTTATTGCAATTCTAGTCCTTATTAGAGTTTTTTAAAACTCTTTTCTATCTTTGTTCCAAATAAAATTACTATCTTTATGGACCAAATTTACAAAATTCAGTTTTATTCATGAAAAAATAGTCACTTGACTTGAACAGAATGTGCTAAAACACTATAAGAACATCAAATAAAAGATCACAGTTATGAAAAGAAAAAACGCTTTTGAGACCAAATTGCATAAACCAATACTCGAAGGCCAAATATCTAATTTACTCTAGTCATTTTACTTGATTATGAACCAAAAAAATATTAGAAAGACATCAAAAAGCTATCGAGACCATAAGTTTTCTTAAAAAAAAGAATTATACTCAAAAACCAGCATGTAGTTTTCAAAAAAAAAAAAAAAAAAAAAAAGTATAACTACCTTTTTGGTCTCTAAGTTTAATGATTTTACGATTTTGGTCCCAAAAAAGATTAATATACCACTTTTGGTCCTTATTTGATGTTTCATAACAATTTTGCTTCCTATTCCAACTAAATTAAATATTTTATCAATCAATATTTTTTAAAAGTATAAAGTTATTTAATTTAGGGTTGATTACGTATTTATACAATAACGTTTCATACTTTTCCGGCTTTATGAAATGATGTTATTTTTCATACAAAAGGTATTTCTAAAGAAAACCAAATCACATGACCACTTAACTTGAAAACCATTAGATATATGACATGTTTTTAGGTTAAGGGAAGATCCAGGAGACAAAGTAATTAGATGAAAGCGAAAATAAAATTGCAAAGATTAAGTTGTATTCATCTACAAACACAATTGTAATTTTATTTAAGTTCCCTTCGTTTTATGGTTAATTCTCTACAATATGTGCCTCTATCCCTTTATGATTACATATGTACATAGGATTGATTCATCATCTACAAACACAACATTTACCATTGATTCCCTAGAAGCAGAAGCAACAAGTAAACTATTGTTGAATTTCAGGATGCCAATTATTATTATGTGAATTACGCGTGTTGTTGGGGTTAAAATGTGACTTCAATCCAATCCAACATTGGTAATAATCATGATCCACATACGATGATTCAAGAGCCCATGGGCAAATACGTGGCATTAGACATGATTCAAACATGAAGGCCATTGTGTCCTTTATTCTATGTGGCCCAACATTATCACCACCCGCAATTGTTGCCTATAGACAACATAAAATAAAAAAAGAAAGTAATTAATTTTTAAAAATAAAAAAATTTATTTAATTTAAGAGTATATGAATAAAAGTAATTTAATTCCAAGAAGCTTACCTCGTAGGTTTTTGTGTCGGGACCATGAGGAGTCATACAACTATGAAGACTCGCACCGCCAGGGAGAAATCCGTCCGCTTTTGCCTGAAAATGTCATTTTCTTTAGTTACTATCAAAACAAGATGGGACAATGACTCACTCTATAATTTTTCTTCTGTGTAAAAAGACGTAAATGCCCTCATCATCAATCATATCCCTACAAAGTTTGTCCAGTCCTGAATTGTCAAGACGTCATGTCCTACCTAAACTGTCAATTGACGTCATGTCCAGTCCAGTCCAGTCATGACGTCATGTCCTGAACAGTCATGACATCATGTCCAGTCCAGTCATGACGTCATGTTCAGAACTGTCATGACGTCATGTCCAGAACTGTCATGACGTCATGTCCTGAACTATCATGACGTCATGTCCTGAACTATCATGACCTCATGTCCTGAGCCTTTCTTGTCTAGTCCTATCTAGTCCAGCCATGTCGTGATCTGTCATGTCATGTGTAACAAATGTAGTGGAAGAGTACCTCGTATCCTCCATGGATAAGACCCATAAATTCACTCATACAGTTGCGGTGGTAGTAAGGAGGTCTAAAAGTATGCTCTGCCACCAACCACCGCGGAGGAAATATCACAAAATCAAGCAATGCAACCCCAGGTTTATCAGTCGGTGCGGTCAACACTGCATTAAAATTTACAAAATGAATCCTTTATTATATCATCATCAAAATACATTTGCTATTTCTTACACTTAACCCATATCATAAAACACATAAATCAATCTTGTTAATGAACAAAAAATTATCTCATTTACTAAAAGAAAATCACACTCACCCGTGTTTATTGATGGATCACCATGGTCAACCAAAACCGTATTATATGGGCAAAACTTGCTTAGATCATACTGCAAGCAAAATACGTGTAAATCTTTATATATATTTAGATATAGAGTAAATTACAAGTTTGGTCCCTGAGTAATGTTGATTTTGGCAATTTTCGTCTCACTTGAGGTTCTTGCAACATTTTTGGTTCATATTTCAAGTATAATGACTATGGTCCTTGGATATAGGCTATATAAAAATCAATTTAATTGATACAGGGACTAAAAGCGTTATAAAAGCTTCAAATAAGGAGCAAAATTGTAAGAGAAAACTCATTGGGACCAAATGGAGAAAAGAAGCTATACTTGGGGACCAAAAATGTAATTTATTTGTGATTGTAATTTGTAAATCAAACATAGATAAGAAACTATAATGAAAAAAATGTGTACCTTATAAGGGACATAATTGCCATGCCAAGCAACAACATTGAATGGTGAAAAATCTTGTCTAGCAGTAAAAAGTTCACCACCAAATTTCTGTATAATTGTATAACCTGGACGAGATTCCTGTTCAAATGAAGCTGTGGGCACAAGGAAATCCTTTGGGGAAGCAAGCCCATTTGCACCTAAAAGCAACACCAAGTTAAAAAAGACAAAAATACCCTTATTGAGATACAAGGGATAGTTCATAGTAGTAGGTTAATTACCTATTGGCCCAAGATCAGGGAGTTGGAAATGAGTACCAAAAACTTCAGCAACATAACCACGTGAAGGGCCATCTGGTAAATCAATAGCAAACCGGAATCCTTGAGGGAGGATTACAATTTCACCAGGTGAAACTTGTAGTTTTCCACATTCTGTAGTGACCCACAACCCTAAAAATAAAAATGTTGTATTATAATTTATAAATTTATAATCACAAGGTCCATAATCATGAAGGGTAAAAAGATGCATTGAAAATGTGGACACTTACTTCCACTTTGAGGAACTATCAAGAAGTCGCCATCTGCATTGCAGAAAGCAGAGTTTTCCATTGATATGTTTGCAGTGTACCTACATGATCATGAAGACAACAGTTAATACAGTAAACAAAGGCAGATTCTATAAGGTACAACATTTGAAGCATGTGTTACATGTGAATGGCGAAACCATGTCTAAGGAATGAACTACCAGCTCCACATACAGAATAGAGCCCATCAACAAAGTCTGTTGGTTTATCAGGAATATCAACAGGTTTCCATCGAATTTGTGTGGGGTTAATTGAACTGTTGACCTGGCTGAATTCACTTACTAGCTTCTCATGTTTGGGGACTCTTGGTTTAAATGGTTCGTGTGTGACTGAAGGTTTGATCCGATATAGCCAACTGTTGAAACAGAAATAGCATGAACATGTGAAAAAATTGGATGTTGCGAAAATCATAAACCAAATCTTATATGAATCAAAATACTGTGAGATGTAACAATTAGGCGCCAGTATTCATGTATTTTGAGTTTAGTATTCAGCAATTAGTATGTATATGAATCCGATGCAAATTGGAAGTTGGTTGAATTTGTAGAAGGAATACTCTTACAGAACTTAAATCGAAACTAAATTTAAACGAATAACGTTCGATTAGATTGATCAAGCATAATGAATCAATGATCTACGATTATCAGACTAGTGAACCAAGTTATTTTAACATTTTACATCTTACACGACTCTTCAGATATACTTCCCGACCAAAAAACTAAGTCACAGAACAAAGAGTTGATCACTCGAATTTGCATAAGCAATACCTAGAATAGCAAAAGATCGAATAGCAACTTCATGTACAACGATTAACTAAAATCGGTATGGATAATTGTGAATATTAACTTCGAAAAACAGGAAAACAGTAGAAGAAGCAGAAGCGTGATTTAATGGAACTCTTCCAATACTAGAAAAGTTGTTTAAACAAAAATATAAAATGAGCGTATAAAGTGAGTAAGTACTGGACCTTCGTTGATTGAGCTTGCGAGGAGCGGTGAAAGAGGTGCCGGAGATCTGTTCGGCGTAGAGACCAAGGGGGCAAACCAGTGGACTGTTTTGACCTTGAGGGAGAGCTCCGGCTATCGCCTCCGATGAGAAGTGGTTTCCGAAGCCGGACTGGTAGTCGGAATCTGCAGAAGGGAAGTCGGAAGATTTGGGAGCCATCGAGAACAGGAATCAGAAGAAATGAGGGAAAAATAAGATTCAGTTCCTTATAAACGAACTAAAGGTGTCACGTTGGGAGGGAGATGCAGATATACACTGACGTGTTGTCGATAGCTTCGCAGTCAATAAATGTCAGAAAATGACTGTTGTACGGTCTAATTAACTGTTGATCGTTTTCTTTTTTTTCTTTTTTTTTATACGAACAATAAATTCGATGGTATATTGACTAGTGAGTATAAAAAAAAGGAAATTAACCGAATGACGGTGTAAACGAGCTGAGCCCGAGCCTAACCAAGCTCGAGCTCGGCTCGTTTAATTTTGAAGAAGCTCGAGCTCGATTCGAGCCTTAAAATGAAGCTCGAGCTCGGCTCATGAACAATTTAGTGAGCTCGCGAGCCTAAACGAGCTTATACGAGCCTATATATATATATATATATATATATATATATATATATATATATATATATATATATATATATATACACACACTCTCTCTCTCACACACACACACATATATATAGGCTCATTTAGGCTCTTTTAGGCTCGCGAGCCCACTAGATGAAGCTCGGCTTGAGCTCGTTTAATAAACGAGCCTCATATTTGGGCTCGAACTCGGCTCGGGCTCGTTTAATTCGATCTCGAGTCGAGCTTTTAGTGAGTAGCTCGCGAGTAGCTCGGCTCACTTACACCCCTACGAATGAGAACAAATTCAACAATTGGTTACCCTCCTGAATCATTTTCTCCGAAAAGTTAAATTAAAATTAAAATTGCAAAATTATCAAAGACTGCAACCTTCTTTGGCCATAACGTATATAAAGAACATTTCGGATGGTAACTTCATTAAAACATGGTCTATGTTATGCTTATTATGGTTAGCTGTCAACACCATTCTGCAAAAGGATGTGTCTGTGTCTATGAGAAGTATATTTATCAGCATAAACGTTTACCTCAAGGTATATTATTGTGATGTGTCTGCAAAAGTTGCATGATATTGTACATACTGATGTTATATCTTATCCCATGAATTCGATTTTAAAGCTAAGTAAACTTAAAAATCACAACACTTATGATTCCACTCGTTTGTAGACTTGTCTAGAATCCATGATTCGATAAATCATTTGATTGGAAATGTAAATGTAGTCATGAAATACACCTGCTTAGTTATGATTTCCCTAATAAATATTCAAGCGCATTAAAAAGTTGTACATGTATAAATAATGTTCTTTTGTGGGTTATGTTTTGAACAAAAGCAAAAATGAATCTCATAAAGTCATTAATATCAACAGGAGATGACGTGCGATTTGTTGTAAATGAGTAAAGGGAAAATGAATCAGGAAGTTAACCAATTGTTGCATTTGCTCTCATTTGGTCTTTTTCCTTTTTTGTACTTAATATATCATCAAACTTGTTGTTTGTGTTCACTATAACCCTTTAATCGACTATGACAGGTCAAAAGTCGATCAAAAGGGTTATGTGAGCACAAACAACAAGTTCGATGGTATATTAAGTACAAAAAAATAGGAAATAGACCAAATGAAAACAAACACAACAGTTAGTTACCCTCAAGAATCATTTTCCCTAAATGTTATAACAAGTAGAAACGGCGAATCACATATCAAAATAAAAAGGAAATTAAATAATCTCACCATTTTTTGTGGGTTTTTTAATAATCACTTACATTTTTTTTTAAATGAGCGTTTTGTACGGAATGTATTCTTTATTTGAATTTTGAAATAGGTAAACGGGTAAAATGATTCAACTCGGTAATGTGGTCCCCCTATATATAACATATCAGACCATGTGTTCAAAATCGGTGTTTCGGACTTCATTTGAAACTTACTGTTCCTGATTACGTCAAATTCATAGAATGTCTTTTTTCTAACAGTGAAAAGATTCATTTTTTGGGGTATATGTTGATTCTTTTTATGATTATATGTTTTTATTTGTAAATATATGCTTTCATTTTTTTATATGAATTGATGTTTTCCTACAAATTTTAGTTATTGTTAGGCTTTTGTGTGATTATATGTGAGTATATTTGTGCACTAGAACAATTAATATTAAAAAAAAAGTTTTGAATATGTCTGAAACAACTTCAGAATAGTGTTCGGGGATTCAGTCTGGAACACAGTCATTATAGTCCAAAATGTAGTCTGGAACTTAGTTATTTTTAGTTTGGAACATATAGCAAAGGACTAATTAAAATTTATTTCATTATAGTATAACATAACTGAAGGGGTTTCTAGGTTACAATATAAAATTAATCAAACATGATTTGCACAACGGAATTTCATATAAACAATTACGGGCACATGCAACCTGGAAAATTCTGGTTTTTCTCATAATAGCAACATACTTTAAAAAACTAAATAACCATAGTTAAAATCGAAAATCACAAAGTTTAGTTCATATACACTTTGCTATTGTCGAAAATAACAACCAACTTGGAAGAACCCTTCTTTGGAATGTTAGCCCCAATAATTTTTAAACCTCTAATGTGTCACACCTAATAATTGAAAATCATGTGTGTGTGTGTGTGTTAATAGCAGTAAATTGAATCTACTAAGAATACCTAAATTTTTATTTACCTATGAGGTTGTCACTATAGGAGGGACGAAGATTGAAGACTTGAATGGCTTGAGGATTATGGAGAATTTCTTGTACGTGATGTTTTTTCTGGTATAAATTGTCTGTTTATATAGTGATATGAGGGTAATTGTGTAAACTTAAAAAAAAAAAAAAAAAAAAAAAAAAAAAAAAAAAAAAAGATAGGATACAATCGACTTCTCTCCAAATCTCTCCAATTCTGGAAGAATATTATGAGGGGAGATTTTCCTTTATCGCCTCTTTTTTCTTTCCAAATCATCCCCAAAAAAGGGGAATAGGATCTTATCATCCTTTCCCTTCAATTCCTTACAATTACCTCCCCTCCCCCCTTAAATGGGACTCAGGAACTAGGTTTTATAAAGCAAAGCAATAATGGGAGTTTCAGATTAATGATTTTGGACCTACAAATCCTCCATGCTTTGAAAGTAAGTCGATTCACCCCTAAATATACTCCCCTTTGTTCATATAAGGTCCCCATCTCCACCTTTGAGCCTAGAACCGACGAAATTGAGAGAGAAATAGGAGGTATCGATCTAGCGTTTTTCAGAGTAGGAGTTTGAGTTCATTTCTTTGACTTGCAAGACATCTCCAATGTATGTCTCGATTACACTTGGTCCCTAGAGTCCATTCCAAATACTTTTTGGTGTTGTGGTGGCTGAAGCAGCCTCTGGTTGCCCTTAATAGCCGTGAAGCCCTTTATTTTTGAAATTTTCTCGTTTTAAGCTTTGGTTGTTGAGTTTAGCTAAGTTCTAAACACTTTTAATCACTCCTAAAGATATATTTATGTTCCCTTGACACTTAGGAACAAGTGTTGGTTATTTTGATAGCAAAAAACAACATAAACGCGGGAGCATAAATTTTGAATCTTTAATCTCGAATCTGATTAAAAGAAAACTTGAACATAAAAGAATGATTACATACCTGATTTCATTATTATCTTTGGATCTGAAGAACTAGGGTTGGGTTTTCCAATTGATCTCAAGAACTTTCTCTAAATCCCACAGCAAACCCTAAAACGATTTTCATGTATGTATTTTCTATAGCACCTGGTTCTTGGTATGTATTTTTCATTTTTTGGCTTGGGACTCGGTGAGTTGAAGGACCAACTCGTCGAGTAGAAGCGGGATGGGATGCGAGATTTAAGCATTGGACTCTTCGAGTCGGGTCCCGGACTCGACGAGTAGGCTCTGACTGGACAAAACCCTAATCTGAGGGTTTGCACCCTATTTAATGATCTCTTTCAGCCACCACTCGTCCCTATTGCTCCCAGAAACTCTCCATAGCAAACCCTAAGTGTTTTGGTGCAAGATCTAAGACTTTGAGTGATTTTTGTGGGTTTTGACCTCAAGGAATAAGAAAGAGCATAGAAGGATCAAGAAGAGGCTGAAGGATTCGAGTTTGGTTCATCATTTGCAGTCTTTGGAAGGTATAAAGTCTGTACCTTGCTTGTTTATTTGTTAGATCCCTTTTTGGGGAAGATTTAGGGCTTTTAAGCCATATGAGGTGACCAACCATGATTTGCAAACATGGTTGGGGGTCAATACTTCAGATGTAGCACTTGGGAAGAGTCACAAGACAGATTTGGATGGCTTTTGCACCCAAGGAAGGACCCATGCAACAAAAGAGCCATTTTAGAGCCTTTTCGGCTCAAAAGTCCCATGCATGCACGTAAAGTTCTAAACTTTACGTGCTAGATCGAGCTTAGGGGTTTGGATCTATCATTTGGTCAAGTGTTATACATCAGAAATTGAGGATTTAGAGTGTGGACGTTATCGACTCGACGAGTCCAAGGCTTTGTGTCCCATATTTGTTAAGGGTCAAAAGAACTCAGTTAGGTGTTAGAAGGGTTGTAGCAGGACAGAAGGAGTGACCCAACACATTGGACTTAGTTTCAGACCTGGAGTTCATGGGACTCGACGAGTGCTAGAACAGACTCAGTGAGTCCAAGGTAATCTACTTATGATTGAAGATGAACTCGACGAGTTGTTCATACAACTCGGCGAGTCAAGGTCAGGACTTGTTCATCAGATAAAGGTGAACTCGACGAGTAGTTCATACAACTCGGCGAGTCGGATGAAGGATCATTCTATGTTTATATAGGAGAGGAACTCGTCGAGTCATTGCCAAACTCGACGAGTCGAGTCATGGATAAGGACGAGTAAAGGGTAGGGACTCGACGAGTTGACGACCCAACTCAGTGAGTCGGGTCAACTGGAAGTTGATTGTGACTTGGACTTGGTTAGGGGTAAAATAGTCATTTTACCCTAAGAGTAGATATCAGATTCTGATTGAGTGTTTTGTGGGGGTTATAGCCGGAGGATTTCCAGAGCAACAACAGACAGAGGTTTCCCCGCACAAATTATTAGCAGCTACTCGTACGAGGTGAGTTACCTTCCAGTAGTGGTGGGTCTACGGCCACAATGCCAGCCCACCAGTAGGAGTTGTATGTTAGATGATT